TGAAGTAAAGAGCTTCGATTCAATTGTACCCGAAAAGTTGTGATATAACTTCGATTCAATTGCTTTCTTTCTTACTTCAGGTAGTATTTTCAGCAGTATAATTTGTGGTATATATTTAGGTTGTCAGATACAGTTAGTTTTACAGAATTTTCAATCTCATTAGACACATGTTAGGCAAGACATGTGTTTCTTTAGGACACGGTTTTCCTTCTCGCGTAAACACTCTGTAATTGTTTCTTTCACTCATTTTGATTTTATTCTTGGAAAAAATTAAACTGAAATCCTAGCCCAACCCTACTCCACCATTCACCAGCTGACCCAACGCTTAAGGGTTTCATTCCATTTGAATGGTCATTATCAGTAAGATGATCTAGAACTCAGAGAAGAAAAGAAAGGGGCCCGTTTGATAACCATTTCAATTTTAGTTTTTAGTATTCATTTTTTGTCCTAGAGAATTGAGGAAAATGAGAGTGAGGATGGGGGTGAGGTTGAGGTTGAGAGAGATGATGAAAGGGGAGGATGGGAGGGAGTAGTAACAAAAGTGAATATAAAAACTTGAAAGTGACAACAATTTCAAATATATTTCAGTTTTTAGTTTTTGTTTTCACTTTTGTATCTCCTCTCTCTCATCTTCCCTCACACTCTCATCTTCACTCTCATTCTCACTTTCATTCTCCCTCTTTTTCCTCTATACTCTAGCACAAAAAATGAAAACTAAAAACTAAAATTGAAATGATTATCAAATGGGCTCCAGTTTCTACTACAACCTTAGTTCATTACTTATGTAGTGTTTATGATAAGACATTTCTATAAAGCGATCCTATTTTGAAGACATTTCTACAATTAGCACTTTACTTTAGTACCAACAACCATTTCTAGAGTATAGAGGAAGCTACTTCTCTTATTATCTACTTATCAGGAGAGGCATATTCACACAAAGTTAACATAAACCCTGGTGGTCATTATAGGTCATGGGCTTGCATAAACTCAGTATGTTTTTTTTTTTCTTCGAATAGAAACAAGAAACACAGAAAAGAACAGGTGGATAAGGAATCCACAGGGAAAAACAAAAACAGGGAGCATCAGCACCCACAAGGAGACAAGCCTAAAAAAGAGAAAAAAAACAGCCAAGAAGATACACACATGCATAAACTCAGTATGTCATTACTAACTATAGGCTTTTACCATTTACGATCACGCAAACACAAACAGAGCACTTTGGCCATCTTACAGAGTACACGATTAATGATCCCAAACATATTCCTGCTAAATATATCAACCTGAATTGACATATAAAACAAATATAACAGGAATAAGTTAATTGATCAACCACTTTGTACTAAAGACTAAGAGACATGAAACTAACTATTCAATTATTCTAATAAAAAGGGAGCAATTGTGCTCAAACTCATGCATACGGCATATCTTCAATGTCGTACATCTAGCCACAAAACACCACAAACAGCATAACCACCCCATTTTCCATTTCCTTCATATTCCACCATTTTCAGAGCAACCCAACAAATAGCAGTACATATAACAGACAATGAAACCAAAACGAAAAGAAAGGGTACCTGAAAAGTGAGACTAAAAGGGTTCTTAAACCCACGCTTGGGCAAACGACGTCGTAATGGCGTCTGACCACCTTCAAAACCCAACTTTCCGGAGCCTCTAGCCTTCTGACCCTTATGGCCTCGACCAGCAGTCTTGCCTTTACCAGACCCAATCCCACGGCCTTTCCTCGTCTTCTGCTTCCTGGGAACCTTGCCTCTCAGATCGTTCAAGCTCAGCAGACTGTACGCTCTCAATCCCTGAGGCTGAAAGCCGAACCCTTTGACATTGCCTATGCTAGGGTTAGGGTTTGGGCAATGGAGTAAATGGAGGGATTGGAATGAGATTGGTGAGGGTGAGAGAGTAGGTTTAGTGCGAATGGCGGTGGAGAGAAGGGATGCGAGTCTTTTTCTCAGCATATTTGTTTGCTTGATGCGACTGTTAATCGCTAGTTGCAACTAGCAGTTTTGATCCAGACGCGAGTATCGGAGAGAGGTGGTCATGAATCGCCTGAGCTAATTGACCGGAAAATGGTGCGCCTTGTAGCGGAGCGAGGTGGCTGCTTTGTTGCAGAGTTATGCAAGCGCGAGGAAGCATCTGACCCAAATTTAATTTTTGTTTTAATAACCTAGCACAGAACGACGACGTCTAGCCAAAACCCTTAAAAGTTTTGA